CTGGGTAGGGTGACAGAGCAAATGAAGGGAGCTCCCATTTCTGCATAGCTCCCAAAACAGGCTAATATGACCTGGGATTGCGTCACATACTCTGCTGTCTGGACAGGGCCGTGATGGGGTCCTATGCAGAGTGATTAAACTGATGCCCCTGTGCCCAATGGCAGCCTATAGTGTGGGCAGGAGAGGGGGATGATTTTTAGAGATGTGGTTTTATAATCATCAATAGCACACTAATGAAATATTTTAAATCGCATTTTCAACTCAGGTCCTGTTGACTAGCCCAGTCCATTCAGACACTGACAGTATGTACCTGGGGTGGGCAAATGCCTGTTACATGGTGTCATTGTCAGTTTAAGTGGCTCTTTCACAGGTTCGATGTGCTGCTGAGAGCTCTGGCAGGCTGTGTCACTTGTAAGTTAGCTAGATCCTCTCTGGAGGAAGCAGAGCCACAGAACACGGATAGGAAGTAAGACCCAGCGGTGCCCCAAATTTTCAGGGCCCCTACTCAGTTGCATATGGATAAGGAAGGCTCTGTCTTTGGAGACACCACACCAGGAATACGGGGACTCCACTCTGTTACAGGTAAATGTTCAGATAAAGTGACAGGATGGAGAGCTATATAAGGAACAGAATGGACCTCAATCTGTCCAGTTTGGCAAAATAATGGGCAGATTCTAATCCTCGGTAAGTATTGGAAAGGAGTCCTGTGCCAAGCCGGGGGTTGGGGGAGATGAGGGGGAAGCAACTGGCATAACAGGAAGCAATTAGAAAATGGGATATTTGGACAAATAGCAAGATGGCAAAGACTCTTGAGTGAGAGCCAGGCTGCAGAAAAGCCTCCCAGGAATACGAAGGAAGATCCACTGTTTCAAAGGTGTAAATTCACCTGGGTAAAAGATGAGGAAATGTCCTGTCCTGTCCTGTCCAGGGGACAAACCTGCCTTGCTGGAGAAGGATGGGACCAGCTGGGGCATTTTCCACCTCCAGATCCCATACAGAGATGGTAAATCCAACTCACTAGCTCCCCACGTTTCCATACCAACCAATGCCACCAATGGTTTCCTCCGGAAAAAAGCCCAGTTAATGGGAAATATTATGGGGACAGTAGCCCTGTTCCACTTGCCCAAGGTGTGTATTAGCCCCTCCCCCTGCCCAGCTGTTGCAATTCGTGCCAAGAGTGGCAGGTGGGTTAGAGATTGAAAGCAGCAGCACGTCAGCCTTATGGGGGGAGGGTCAGGTCCCAGCTGACATGGCGGGGCAGCCCACAAACCAAGTGGGGCTCTCAATCCTACACATTTCACCAGCCCTGCCCCTTATGTTGTTTTCACCATTAAAAAAAGCTGTCGGGGCAGAAGCTCCTTCCCCGCCCCCCGCCCCTTCACAGGCTTCTGTGTGTGAGCCCCAGCCCAAACCCTAGCACCACCTGCACCGCGGGGCTTGCTGCGGATGGCTGTACTGAGACACCCAAAAGCACTGGAAATCAGGAGGTTCCTGGCTCCAATGAGAGACCTGGGGTGAGGCCCTTTTCTGTGCCTTAGTTTCCCGGCCCACCTATTGAGATTGCAAGGCCATTGGGGGCCATGGCAGTCTCGCGCTGTATGTTCACACAGTGTTTTGCATGACGGGGATCTGAGCCATGGCCTGTCAGTGCTACAAACAACAATCATACCGTGGCCCCACCCGCACAACCCACTGATCGGCCCTCCCATTGCTGCAGTATCTGAACACCTCACCATCTTTAACCTTTTTACTATCACAACACCGTAAAGGAGTAAGGAAGTGCTAGTATCCCCTTTGCACAGAGGAGGCAGGGACAGTCTAAAGGCCAGATTCCCAAAGGTATCTCGCATTGCAATCTGTGGAAGTTGGGCACCTGGAAACCTTTACAAATCTGGCCTCGCGGACATTTCCACAGTCCCCCAAGAACTCTTTGGCAGAGCATGGAATTGAATTCATGTCTCATAAGAATGGCCGTACTGATTCAGACCAAAGGTCCATCCAGCCCAGTGTCCTGTCTGCCCACAGCGGCCGATGCCGGGTGTCCCAGAGGGAGTGAACACAACAGGGAATCATCAAGCAGTCCCTCTCCTGTCACCCATTCCCAGCCTCTGACAGAGGCTAGGGACACCATTCCTACCCATCCTGGCTAATAAGCATTGATGGCCCTAACCTCCATGAATCTATCCAGCTCTTTTTTGAACTCTGTTAAAGTGCCGGTCTTCACAAAATCCTCTGGCAAGGAGTTCCACTGGTTGATTGTGCGCTGCATGAAGAAAAACTGTTTGTTTTTAAACCCTCTATCTATTTATTCCATTTGGTGACCCCTAGTTCTTGTATCAAGTAAATAGCTTTTCCTTATTCACTTTCTCTACACCTGTCATGATTTTATAGACCTCTCTCCTATCCCCCTTAGTCTTGTCTTTTCTAAGCTGAAAAGTCCTGGTCTTTTTAATCTCTCTTCATAGGACAGCCATTCCATACCCCTCATTATTTTTGTTGCCCTTATCTGATCCTTTTCCAGTGCGGAGGTGACCACATCTGTACACAGTATTCAAGCTGGGGGCCTACATGGGGCCCTTGCAGATGGACCATTCTTCCCCCTCCACAGATGTTAAGTGCACAGGTGCTGCATATAACCAAGAGCTCATTCTTGTAATATTCTGCCAACGGAGCCAAGTGGCCAATCCCATGAAGGAGACACCGGGGAAGCAGCAGTGTTTCCCAAAACGCAACGGTTACTTATCTGACCCGAACATAAACTAAGAGCTTCTCATCCACCGAGCAAGGAGTGAAGTGAAATCTACAGATAAGAACAGCGCTGCACTGGCAGCTGGACACACCTACTGAGTAATGTTCACCCAAATCGCCTGTCCCCTGAAAGCTACCACAAAGCACTGTGCCTGGCTCACCGCGTAGGGCTCCTCGTGGGTTCTGGGCTGCACACGCAAACATGGGTTTGCTCTTGTAGGTTTGCTCCTGAGCACTCAACAGCATCCATTGGTTGGAGACAGAACTGGGGTGCTTAGGGAGGGAGAGTGCAGTGCTTCAGGGTAACTCCTCAGCCCTGCGGAGGAGGATACACACGGAGGTTTCTCAGAACAGATGTGGAGTGGGCAGGGGCGGACTGGTCTGGCGGAATACGGGGAATTTCCCGGTGGGCCGTCATATTCACCCGTGACGAGCCACCATTGCCCTGCACTCCGAGAGGTTCTGCGTCCACGCTGTATGCAGTGCATGGAGCCTGACCCGCCACTTATGCTGTGTGCCAGAAAGGGGGTAAGGAGGCAGGGCTTGAGGGGGACACAGGGTGATGTCACGGGAAGGGCCGTTTCCAGGCCTATTCTGATTGCCAGTCCACTCCTGGAGGTGGGTATAATTGCTGGCCTCACCGGAGGGACCTCAGGCACCCTTCGTATTGTGCATCTGTCCCTCAAGCCACATTGGCTTGCTGATGAGGCTCTTGGCCCTGGACGCGGGACTTTCCCCGTCATAAATGGACAGGGTCCAGAGAAGTAATCTCATCAGTAAATTATGCCCAGTGGCAAGGCCGCCCCGTGGCACTAAGCCCAGACCTGCATGTCACAAGATGTACTGTACCATTCTGTACTGTCTAGAAGATCCCAGAGCTAGAGCTAGGCTGACAGTACTATAAGACCTCTCTAATTGATTTTACTGCAGCCTGACACACCGAGTCTTTGGCTGCTGTTCAGCAGCTTCCTTTGAGTTTTTTCCTCTTTAATCAGACAATGAATGGAGGGCCAGCAATAGATGCTGGACGGACACTCCTGGAGAGCAGAGACCTGCCTTTACCCGCACAGCAGGGGGCAGCAGGCAACGCAGCAGGACAGCTTTTCCAGCACTGTCCTTCTGCCTTTCCCCATCTCTGGAGGGACCAGGGGAATTCAGTCCAGATGCCGAACCCCTGGCTCTTCCAGAGAGACAGACACTTAGTGGCAGTGAATTAGCCCCCTAGGATAAAACCAGCTAATTTGGGAAAGCATCATCCAAGCAGCCTGCTGTCTCCTACTCAGCACCCACACGGCAAACGTTTGCCTGATCGAGCCTCTAAAGGGTCTGTCTACACTGCATGGGCGGCCCAGCACTGGGAGCACAAGGCCTCCTGTAGCCCCTGAAAGATGACCAGATTGGACGGGGAGACAGACTGGTGCTAGCCACACTGGAGCATGCCTGCCAGCGTGAGCGGTGGGGAGGGGCTGCTCTTAAGCCCACCCGACCCTTGGGGCCAGAGCGAAGGTGGCTAGCCTGAGTCTCTGAGAGCGGCAGTGTTTACACAGCTAGGCCTGCCCACAGGGGGACAAAGGGGAAGTTGTCCAGGGTCCTGGCGATTCATAGGGGCACTGGAGCTCTGGGCCTTTTAAATCACCGCCAGAGCACAATGCTGCACGCTCTAGGTGGTTGAGTGTGGGGAGGGAGGCACCGTGCTCTAGGCAGCGCTGAGGGTTGGATGCCACAGCCCCACTTCTTCTGAGGCCCCGCCCCTTCCAGGAGCACAAAGCCCCTCCCACACACACACACCTTTCCCGCGGAGGCTGTTGGTGCCCCTGTGCACAGCTGTTTTTAGCACACTAGCCTGAGCCCTGTTAGAGCAACTCCATCTCCACAGGTTGGGAGGCTCACCCCCCGCTGCAAGGCGGACATAACCAAAGTGTGTGAATTAAATGATGCCCAGTCAAGATCTCTGCAAGCCTGAACCAATATCCTCAACTGGCGGATTTCACAAGCTGGGATTTGCTTTCCTTGTGCCTGCACTGCAATAAAACAGTCAGATCTTTGGGGCAGGGTCTCTTTCCTCTCATAGATCTCAATAGTAGCCAGACACAATAGTGCTTAACCGACAAATGGTAATACAACGCAGCCTTCTCCCACTGTCAGCAGGCAGCCTCCGATGTGCCCTACAGCGAAGCATGATGCTTTCCAGCAAGGACACACCTCTTCCGGGGTGCTGTGCAAAATTCCACATTTTAAAGGGACAGGAGACAATAAAGTAGCTTGCCAGATCCTAAAGCAAAGCTGTCCCTTAGGCATAGACTGAACAACTCTGACGAGGAGCAAATTAAAGGTGTTGATGGACCCACAACACTGATTTTCCAAAGTTTAAATCTTTGAGGAGTTGCAGTGATTTCACTAACAGACTTTTAAAGGGTAGGCATGACTGCTTCTCTCTGGAGCCGCTCTGTGGAAGAGGAATTGTTTTTTCTCTTCTCTCATGCTTTATTTTTTCCTGATTCTGTAGTGGGATGGGTCTCTGGAGAAAGATTTCCATTCCCTTTGTAGGATTGGTCTTGGCCGTTTATTTGTATTCAGCATGGGAGGATTTTAAACCCGGTAAGTTATTAAAATGTAACCGAAAAAAAGCAGTTTGAACATTTTATAGAGGATGTGTACAAAGCCTGAAATGAAACATGTCTGGGCATTTGTAACTCGGCAGATAATAGAACATTGTGTTTTGCAGGGCTTTCAAACTACACCAGGCAAGTAACACACAAATATTTTTCTGAGGAAACACATGAAGTGGGAGTTTTATTATTTGGATTTTTTTTTTGGGGGGGGGGAGGATTAACGTTCAATTTCAAATGATTAAGTTTGTAAAAAAAGAGCTAGAAAAAGGCTATTTTACAAATTTTTAATTTATCTATAGATAGATAGATAGATAGATAGATAGATAGATAGATAGATAGAAATTTTACTTATCACCAAAAAAATTGATGTCCTGATTTGAAACGTGATAGTTTTTAAAACAATGTGTCTGTTTTCTGGTTTATACTGATTTATTCACATGAGGAATTACAACAATTTGTCTTACTACAGGTTTTTTGGGAAAAGGCAGAGAGGTTACTTGGTGCAGGATGAGCCTGCGAGCTAGCACGGGTTGGACTGCCTTCTTGAGCACTTTGGTTTCCTGGAGGGCACGGAGGGGGCAGAGGTGGCAGGGGGGGATCTTTCTCTGGTCCCCTGGTAAATTAATATCCCTGTGCCATGTTATCCAGAGATGCTGAGGGGAAAGCGAGTGATCATCACTGGCGCCAGCAGTGGAATTGGAGAGCAGATGGCTTATCACCTGGCACAGATGGGAGCCCACATTCTGGTCACAGCCCGGACAGAAGCCAAGCTTCAGAAAGTAAGTAGTGAGCAGACACGTGCCCGTGAAGGCCAGTCTTATGCCCCCCATATAGATACACAAGTGCAGGCACATTGGCCACTGCAGTTACATGAAATGCACGTTGGTGCGCACTCGCACATGCAGGCATGTGAGTGCACCAACACAAGTACATACCCATGCTCATGGTGATGCACACGTGCACTCTCCTTATACATGTGCTAGTATCCATGCTCACACTCAGTCGTGTGCACATCATCATATGAGCACTAAGACACAAGCAGGCCCTTTCACCACATTGCAGTAATACCCACACGCCTCCAGTCTCCCTGCAGGCACAGAATTCCACTGAAAAGCAGACTGTAGTGAGACATAGCAGACAAATACGTTACCCAAAGCAGCTTGGCTATCAGCTACCTCCGCCAGTGGAGGGATTTTTCATGGTATACGCACTTTGAAACCCCAGGAGGTGCCGATCCCATTTTCGGCTCCTTTTGTGCCCAATGCTTCAAGGCAGAGCGAGTGTGTTCAAGTGAGCAACACTTGGCGGGCAGAGTGCAACACGTTCCCTCCACAGAGTGGCGTCTATCCCACAGCAGATGGAATGCACCAAGGTGGTCAACGGGAAATGGGTTTGTACAACATTCTGGTCACATCTTCCAGGTAGTCACCCGGTGCCTGGAGCTGGGCGCAGCCTCCGCGCAGTACGTGAGCGGCAGCATGGAGGAAGAGGCATTTGCCACGCATCTGGTGGAAGAGGCTGAAGGGATGCTGGGTATGTTCTCAGGTCACTGCCTGGAGACCTTTCATAAGTGACAAGATAGAGCAAGACGCGACACCACTTCTTAGCCAGGTTTCTTTGGACCAGTGTTTCTCAACCTTTTTTTTTTTTTTTTAAATAAAGTGCCCCTTTTTTTTAAAAAAAAAAAAATTATGACTACCCCCAGTACCTACAGTTTTCAGACACACAACATTTTTTTCTACCATTGCTACCCATTTGTTTAAACAACTTAATAGTAGCTGGGCTGGCAATTAAATTTTTGGGTGTAAAAAGTACAAAAATAATAAAGTGCTGTAAAGTTTAACACAAAAATTCAGTTTTCTCCAAATTTCGGTTGTGTTGGTGTATCTCCCGGAATTCTCTCAAGTACCCCTGAGGGTACTCGTACCACTGGTTGAGAAACACTGCTTTGGACCATATGAAGAAACAAAATCAGTAGAAGGGGTGTGGAAATGGCCTTCATTCTTCTCATGATATCTCTGTGTCTCCGTGAATGTAATGAGAAGAATGAAGGACTACAGGGTGTGCATATGCACATCTGTGCATGAGTGTAATGGGAAGAATGAAGGCATGAAGGATTATATTCCTATTTGTATCTCACATTCGCAAATGGCCCATCCATACACCATTTAGTTACTATATCAAGTTATATGTACAATCATTATTAAAGGCATAAACCGGCCCCTCGTGAATGGGTGACAAACAGGACAGACCCGAGCCAACCACAGCCTAGGCAGCTCTGTGCAAGCATTTGCCACAACTCTGCCAAAGCCAATCTAGCAAAGCGGTTCTGTCATATACGCTGAAGGCTGGGACTTGGTGAATTCACACCAATCCCATTTGTATGGGTAAACAGAATCTTGATTTTGACCCAACACTGCAGAGATGAAAGGCCTCTGCAGGGACCCAAGAGCCTCCATTAATTATAATAATATTTGTATAGTATGATGATGATGATGATTTACTAGCAGATTTATCCAGTGCTGTTTGGGTCCTTAACTCAATTAAGGGTTTTTTTTAATGAAAGGACTATGTACATGATTTTTTGAAATGGTTGTATTTTTCAAAAATAGTGTTATTTTTATGAAGTTAATTTTAGTAATTTTTTTAAAATAGGAATTGCGTGAAGTGTGTTTTTTTCTTCAGACCTATAAACTCTTATCATTCACTGTGTTTCAACAAAAAAGGGCCCTAGTCACTTTTCAGACCTTAAGAATTGATTTAGCTGTGCCTATATGGAGCAGTACTCCAAATTTCTCTCGTCTCTGTATGGTTTTATGAGGAACAATTTCATTCCAGGCACATCCCATTTTCCTAGCACAAACAAGCCCTTACATTGCTTTAATTTATGAGAAGAGGAAGCTGCCTGTCAAATTTGGTGGTCCTAGCTCTTAGCATTTAGGAGGAGTTCTTGATCAAACAGACAAGCTCTCTAAAAAATAGAGTAGTTTATATCTCACTACCACTACTACTACTACTAATAATAATAAACAACTTATTTCATTCCTGGGAATCAGTTCCCGCAGAGGTTCAGAGTGACTGTAGGAAAGGATAAGTAGCTTATACAACCAGTGTGCTCTGAACTTCCTTCAATTCTCTTTCACCCTGAACTAAAGCACCCCTGGCTCTCCCCTTTGCTTCCAGGAGGCCTCGACATGCTGATCCTCAACCACATCGGCAACTCGTACTTCAACTATTTTGATGGGGACGTGGAGCACATGCAGCAGCTTCTGAGGATTAACTTTCTCAGCTACATCGCCATGACAGTCTCAGCGTTGCCCAGGCTGAAAGACAGCAGGGGCAGCATCGTGGTGGTTTCATCCATGGCAGGTGAGCAGTGAATGAGGGCAGAGATTGGGGGCTGGTTTTCAGAAGTGATGAAGCATCCCAGAGTTACCCAAGGGAGTGAAAAAAACTCAGCAATGCATCTTCCTGCCCCGTCCCCATTACTCTTTGATTGGGTTTGGCTCCCCCTAGTGGCTCATGAGTAGCAGTCGTGAACAATATTGGCATTACAATCTGAATGGAACAGACTGGCTCTCTTTTTGTATTGGCTATTTGACTGACTCAATGGCATCATCTTGTCTTTGTGGATCAAGTTCAGTAGTCAGCTGAAGGGGATAGTTTGCTGGCTATGTGAAGTGTTTTGTGCCAGGTGTCCCCCATTATAAATTTGCCATCTGTAGTCAACTGAGCTGCTGAGCTAAGTTGAGGATCCAAGGACCTAAAGGGCCAATGAAACTTAGCTCAACACTGTAGGTGATTTCTCTGGGCCACCTCTGAGCACATCAGTTGAGAGCATTGAAGTTAGGCAACTGTGAAATCACCTATTCGTGAACATTTGGCTGAGCTATTCGGAGGACTTGAAGGCTATGTCTACACTGCACAGTTATTTTGGAATAAGCTCTTCCAGAATAGTTATTCCGAAATAGCTTATTTTGAAATAGCAAGTCTACACTGCAGGAAAGCCTCAAAATTAGTCTGAGGCAGGTTTCCCTAATGCAGATGTGCTATCTCGATTTAAAGCCCAGAAGGAATAACGTAGAATGGCCCTGGTGGGGGGCTATTTTGAAATAGCAGAAGTGGAGCATCTACACACGCCTTATTTCAAAATAGCTATTTCAGAATTGGCCTTATTCTTCATAGAATGAGGTTCACAGAAGTTGGAATAAGCCGCCCGTTATTTCATAATTATTTCAAAATAATGGAATTGCTGTGTAGACACTCGCATAGTTATTTTGGAATAACAGCCATTATTCTGAAATAACTCTCTTATGTCTACACATCAAGGTTAAAGCCAATAAAGTTTGAATGTTCAGATCCCTCCCAACCTGCATCTTTGAGGCATGACACTTGACTGGCGTTCAAAGCGTTTGGAAAGAATGTTACATCTGGTGCAGAATCAAAGCTTTACTCATCTCTGTTGCAGACCTTAACTGTGTCAACATTGCTGCTCTGTGTCTAGGTAAAATTGGGTTTCCATTTACCGCTCCCTACTCTGCCACAAAGTTTGCCCTGGATGGGTTTTTCAGCTTCTTGCGGCAAGAATTAATCCTTCAGAGCATTGACGTTTCCATCACACTCTGTATCCTCGGCTTCGTTGATACAGGTAGGAGCCGGATGGTGTGGCCCCTGCTGATTAGGAACGAGTCACCCTTCAAGTTCAAATATTTTATCCCAACTTTCAAGTTGGTTCACAACTCTCCCCTCCCTTTTTTTCTCCTCTCGTCTCTTCTCCACCAATGCTACTTGTCAACTCCTCACAAATATTCTTGTCTTCTTGTATGCCACCCCGAATACAAGGAATGTCCTCTCTGGATGGACACTACTTCTGCTCTCCCCCAAATCCCAGCCTCGCTCTGGTCTACACTGAAATCTTACACCAGCGTAACCATCTCAAGCAATGAAAAAAATCCACCCCCTGACTGGCATAATTATGTTGACAAACAAGTAGTGTAGATGCAGCTATGTCCACAGAGGAGTGCTTCCCCAGATATAGTTAATGTCGTAGGCCATGGTTCTCAAATTTTGTTTCACTTGTGGACCGCTGGAAAATTGCTGGACCACTCAATGATCCTTCACAATACTCTTTGTACCGTTAGCTAATGACTGTGAAGCACAGTGGATAAGAGTGCTATATAATACAATTTTATTAATAATGAACTTTTTTTGTTCCACAAATAAAAGCACATAACTGGTATTAATATCAGTTGGGGTCTCCCCTGCTTCCCACCACAGTAGCCACAGAGCAGCTGAAGGCTTGGAGCTAGGGAAAGTGAACCCCTTTCTCTGGCTACCACAGCCTTGCCCATCACAAATTCCTCCCACCCCCTCTTCTCAACCCACTACCCCCTCCCATCTACTCCCCATTCCCAGCCAAGACCACACATGTACATGTGCAGTTCCTCCAGCACCAAGCACCTAATTAGTGAAGCCACGCCTGCGCACCATTAATTAGGTGGCCCTTCGTTCCCTTGTGTGTGGCCACCCAGGCACGCACCTCAGAGGGAGCTATCTGCAGACCACCTGGATCGAGCTTGCTGACCGCTGAAGGTCCATGGACCATAGTTTGAGAACCTCTATCGTAAGGGGAGGTGCAAAACTCACTCTGTCATTCTAAACTATGTCTCCACTAGGGGGTGATGTCAGCACATCTCCTGTGACTTAACTAGAATAGTAACGTCTCTGTAATGCAGACATACCCTCAGCCCCGTTTCTGACTAGCCACTTCAAAGAAATCAGTGAAGGAATAATGGCTAGGCCCAGGGCCATCCTGACCTATATGCAGAATATGCAGCTGTGTAGGGCCTCCAAAAATTTGGGCCACCACTGGGTCTTACTATCCACACATTTGCCTCTTCCTATCCCTGTCCTGAGGCTCGGCTTCCTTCCGAGAGGCTCTAGTTAACTTACAAGTGACACAGCCTGCCAGAGTGATTAGCAGCACAGGGAACCGGGAAAGAGCCGTTCGAGTGGCCATGAAGCCATTTAACAGGTATTTGCCAACTCCAGATCTAGACTGTCAGTTTCTGAATTTGCTGTGTCAGTCGACAGGACCTGAGTGTGAAATGTGCTTGAAATCTACTTCATTGGTGTGTTGCTGAAGCGTATAAAGCCACATGGGTATGTCTAGACTACGTGGGTTTTTTTCGAAAAGAGATATGCAAATTTGGCACTAATTTGCATATCTTCTTGCGATCGCTTTTTCAAAAGTGGGTTTTTCGAAAGTGAAAGTAGTCTAGACACAGTTTTTTGGGGGAAAAACCCAATTTTTTTGAAAAACCCGCTCT